AGACCTAAACGAGCCAGATTGCTTTCAAAAGCAGAGCAATATAAACATCTAACTTTAAAAAGGCTGCTCTGCACATTGTCATTGCAGATGAAACCATCTAGAAGACAGATGTCATTTGGAGCAAAGGATCAGATCACTAAAGCACAGGTTCAGAGCAAGTGAAAAATTAATAAGAAAAAATATTACAAAGACAAAGAACGTCACAACAAGAGTAACAAAATAAGAGATGACCAATAAATTGTGATGGAAATCTCTCAGTGATATCCCCCTTGCATCCTGAGAGAATTACAGCATTAGAAGAGACCACAGAATATCAGGGAGCAATTTCCAGGGTGACGCTAAATAAACATGCAATCTGATGCTTACAGAATAACTGTACAGCTCAGTTTACAATGAATGGTAAACACTCTCAAGTTTAAAAAAGCCTTTTGATCCGTTCTCAACTTTAAACCCCACAGACTTTCAAGGGAACAAGACAATCCGTGTATCAAGGCTCATGTGGTATATGCTGTACACCTGGTGATAATTACCCACTTCAAATTAATTAATTCTTTGAAAGGAAAGTAACCATGTAACAAGAAGGTAGATTCTTTCTGGTGGTTCTTACAAAAGATTCCATGCAAATGCAACTAATTTTACAGTAGTTCCACATATGACTTCTTATTCAATAGCTGTGACAAGAATTTCTGACTTTGCAATAAAATCCACAATTTGAAGGCAATGTTAAAATAGTTGTATAGAACTCTTTCAGCAAGAGCTGTATTAAAGAGATCTGACACGCAGTTAGGAGTCAGAAACAGTTCTCATCCTATGTTAAGTGGTATAATCCCAACACAGCAAGATAGTTACATGCCTAAAACTAATTAAACCCAACTATTTCATTTGTCAAAAGGTACTGTGTTCCTTTTAGGCTATATCAACACTGGCAAACACTGTGGTACAACAGGAGCAGATCTGTAAAACAAAACAGTTGGTGAGGACCTACTCCCTACACTATACACGTTTCACGGAAGTCCACTTCAATATAGATCTAAACTGGTTTTGTCATTTGAATCCCCATTAAAAGCTGGTGTGCATGAGACACAGCTTTGGAGTACATTACCTGATTTTTTTCATCCCCAAAGACCCCAGTTTGCATGCTCTGACATTGCTCTGTGATACGTACTGAAGCATGGGAATCATCTGAAGGCTGGCTATCAAAGCATGCCCCTGATACGAACTAAAACACCAGCGCAGACACCATGAGCCACTGTCCTCCTGGACTACTGCACATTCAGGCAGGATCCACAGAACAAATGCAAGAAAACCACTACTTGCCTAGCTAGACATTAGCTTTCCAGTTGTGAAAAGCACAACAAAAGCTGTCTACATACTTACATGTAGAAGGCTGAACCTTTACAGTCTGCATGAGACCGTCTATCTTAATTGAGTGAAAACAGGCAATATGTAGAATCTGCTTCTAGAAAGAGAGGAAGGCTACAACATTTTATCTGGAAGAGTAAAGACTTACTGGGCTTATATAAGGCAATAGATTTATTTTTATGTGAAATCAGTCTATTTAAAATTTTATTTTTCCAAACTGTGTAGTTAAACCTAGGTCAGATGCTTCAGGTGCTGCTAATATTGGTCACTAACGTTTGGGGATTTATAACAAGTAGCAGATTTTTTCCCCCTGTCTCTCCTGACAGATGAACCACTACAGAAGAAAGAATTCTAGCACTCAAGAATGGTTCTTCAAGAGTTTTCAAGGCAGTTTTATGAGATCCTTCTCAAAATTATCAAAAATTTTCAGCTCCGGTTCTATAATACGATACATAATTTGCTCTCTTACTGACACAGTGAAGTACTAAGCTCTAACTGGGATAAAAGGAGTCAACGCAGTTGTCATTTAGATATGTGAACTCTTTTCTTTACCATGGGCCCTATCGTCATTTAGCATATCACCTTTTGCAAGAAAACGTTTAACACCCAGAATTTTCTGACAGCGCTTTATAGTTAAGATTTAAAGGCCAGCAATCTGAAGGGCCCTCTGCCGGCAGATGCTGTGCCAGCTGCTAAGAGCCACAATTACTGTCAGCTCAGGCAGCCTGTGCACATCCACCTATTGTGTCACAAAAGCACTTCCCTTATCATAAGTCTCTTTCCTCCCACTATTTGATTTTAAAAGCTTTTTTGCCCCATCCCCGTCCCTCCTCCCCCGTATAAGTGACAATCAGCCCCAACAAATCCCTCTGATCAGACACATACCTCAACCGGCTGCAAGGAAAGGAAAATTACGTATAGAAGATTTCAAGACAAAATGAGCAAGAACAGTGAAAGCTTCTTTCATGCACAATGGGCACTCCGGCTTTATTCCATTTCTAAACTTCTTCAGTCTATTCAGTGACTACTTACTATCAAAATTTACTTGGCTGAGTTTTAATTAGGAGCGATTTACTTCATGGACAGTTCTTAAAAAATACAATGGGTACAAGCAGGACAAAGCAGTTCAGGTGGAATATTTTTAAAGCTGAATTTTTCATGGTCCGGTTGGCTTTTGCAATAAAAAAAAAAAAAAGAAATGCAAACCCTAAAAGTCTGCGTGGATCGCACTCATTGAAATGAGGCAAAGAACTTCTCAATACAAGAAATGTCAATTGTTTTAAGAGCTTGGGGAGCCACTCTGACTAAAAATAAGACTGCTTCAGATCAGTTTCAGAGTATAAAAAGGATTCAAATTTAATACAGTGCATTTAATACCTTTTATCTACATGAGAGCATGATTGACGATATAAAAATTATAAATCTAACAGCAAGGTGCACACTGATGTATTGGATATCACATTGCAGCAAAAAAAGATTTTACTCTTTTATAAAAAAAATATAAAATTACGGAGCTGGGGTAAGCTAGAACCTAAAACTCAATCCATTACAATCTCTATATTTTGAAAAGATAGAAACCTGCCTTCATTTCTCTGTCAAAGATAAGCTTTAGCCATGAATAACTAAGAACTGAGCAAGATCAAAACTCAGGGCTGATTTTTAGAAAATAAAAGGGGGAGACTCATGCTTGCAAAGTACAGCATGCAAACATATCAGCACCTTGAACTCTAGCAGGGCTTAGCCTACAGATGTAATATCCATAGGTACACATCTGTATATTTAGCTGTGTTTATTTCATACCGCCCAAATGCATAACCACCTACATACTTCTCTTCATAGGGAATATGAGGCAGAGAAACTACTGTACAGACACACCAGAATGTCTTGGAGATGAAAAACCCAACAAATCGCAATGAACATCAGAGCCTATCTGTGGCAATGGAGTACAAAGATGAAGTTCATCCAGATCCAGAAAGAAAGCAACAAAAAAGTGAAACTATATGCCCTAAGTCTAGTTATTTCCTTCTATAATGGTGTAAGCTCATATAGTGAAACTAATAAAAGTATCTATATATACATGCAGGCATGCTTTTATTGTGGTAACAAATAGTACTCAATGAAATTTAAAGCTAGCATTTTTACTTGTACTGAACAAACACCATTAGTGTACATTAGTGAAACTAATAAATACCATTACATAACAAAAAAAATGCTTGTGATTACAGAAACATTTTTCACAACATGCAAGACAGTACAACAGTTGAACACATATAAGACATGATATGTACATGGACACTCTCATAAGAGGTGTACTGCTGGCTACTGGAACAGCATGCATGTTTCTAAAAGGTCACCTGGCATATTGTGTCTCAGTCACTTTCAATCACAACAAAACCAGACAACTTGCATAGCAATCATCCAAAATACTGGAGCATTGCAGGCACCTGCAAGGTTTCGAGCCACTGCTTGCCCCTTCCCCAGGGTCTTGCCTGTACTCTGTACGTTTTCTACTTTAACCATAAATACCAATCTTCTTACTATCTAGAAGGCATCCATCGCATTCTTGGCTTAGTGTAATGTAATTATAGCACTGATAGTTACTACAAAGCAAGCTGTACTTTCTTCTGCAATGTAAGACCAAAGCACAAGATAAACAAGAAAGCACTTGCTGAAAGTAAACGGTAACAAAAAGCTTCCTATTAAGTAAATACATCCTTTAGTTCTGAAATATCGTCGCAGGAAGGAACAAAGCAAATGTATTCTCAATTATTGTCAGAGCAGAATTAAGAAGTTGTTTTATTAATAAATTACTGTGCAGATACAACCAGTATCTTTCTGTGGTTACGTGAGTTCTCATTCGTAGAATAACATCTTCCTTCTCAGGTACAATCACCTCTTACATTTTACGATTTAAGTCAAGAACATGCAAAACAACTTTGAAGGAATCTTTCTACTCCCCCTATGCGTAACAGACCTGTCCATTTTCTTGGGTTTTCTGTGCCAAGTGCTGGTTACTGCCTCAGGAAAAATATGGTACCAGACAACCCATGAACCTGTTTGTTATGGCATACACTATATTTTTCAAGGTATTTAGCAGAAGAACCATAAAGAAATGCAATATATTATATTGCAGCCAAAGGTTGACAATAAAAAAACCCCATAATATATTGTTTGAAACAAAAACCTGTGGTACACTCTATCTGCATCATTAAAAACTACCGCAGTTATTCTGAAAATTCAAGGACTCTGGTGCTACAGGTATGCTGGAAGGAGAAAGGCTAAGTAACGGAGATAAAAGCTTGTGAGTGAACTCATTCAATGCTTCCACATGTGCTGAAAGTTTAATTTCTTGTGTTTTGGTTAGAAATTTGCAAGGAGTAAACCTCAGTGTCGGCCAGCCAAGTCAATATAGGAGATAAGAGGTCTGTCAGCCAAAGTATCCAAAACTATGCGTCAACATCAAGGTCAGAAAAGCTTTGTTACTTCCAAGCAAAAAGTGTCTGCTGTATGGCTGTTTTGACTTGTGATGTAGCTTGGCCTGGCAAGCAGTCCGGGCAGTCACTCTCGTTATAAAATAAAGCTACCTCAAGAGCTAATTTGCTCACTCACAAGACCCACAAAGGAGGTGGGAGGTACCGAGTAAAGCTGAATGTATCTTTGAGCTTTGAAAAACCTCTGCCTCTTTCCCCTCTCTCTCTCTCTCAAGCAAAGCAGAATCTCTTGGAAAAGATGGTGCTGGAAACTCTGAATCCAATGCACTACAACATCACCAGCTTAGTACCGGACGCGATGCCAGTGGCCACAGTGCCCATACTCATTCTCATGTGCTTTCTGTTTCTCATGTGGAATCATGAAGAAACTTCATCCATACCAGGTAAATTAATTTTAGCTATAGTATCACCTAAAAGCTGACAGAGTATTTGTGTGTGTTTGTTTCTCAAATTTAAGTGAGAAAGCGATGCTGAATAATGATTGTACGCCAACAAAATTTACTAAGAGTCAGTTTAAATAATACAGCTTTTTACAAGAACTGATAAAAGAAATTAGGCTCACTCTAACCTCAGAACTTCCATAATAAACCTGGCTTGGCTATATAAATACATGACATTTAGCTTTCTGCTTTATTATGTGTAAGCTAGAAAGATATAATACCATTTTACAAACTTTAGATGTTCATGTTTTCATGTGCATTATAAACTACTTTTTACATGTTTTACGTTTAAAGCCTTCTAAATTGTCTTTACTAGAAACAAACTATCCTCTAGGAAATTATCCAGATTTTAGTAGATTATCAATTTTTATCTCCATGTTTGGCACCAAAGACCCTCCAGAACACAACAACAAATGGGTTCCCTTTCAGAGAGCCCCTTCTGTAATGTTTTGGGGGCTGATGGTAGACATTACTGATTCAGCCTATTTTTCATTAGATGCAGTGCAATGACCTCCTGCACGAATGGCAACAATGCACACATCTCACAAAGGTGTTTGACAGGAATAATCCTAAACCAATGCAGTGGCACCTGAATGAAATTTGGAGATGAGATCCTTGCCAAACATCCTTCAATATGCTAAAACTCTTTGAGCGTGAGAAAACCAGGGAAAGTGTTCACAGAAGGTTATGCCTTCTATTTGAATGCTTGATTGGATCAACAAGAAAATAGAACTAAATTAATATGTTTCAAGTTTACAGGTACTTAAATAATCTGGGGTCTTGCAATTCCTGTTGTAAACGGTGGAGCCATAAGCAACTTTAAAATTTTTAAACAGTATACAAAAGTTTTGTAAGTACTTAATTTGCTTCGTTTTATGGAGTTAGATTTATGTTTTACAGACAAAAGGAGCAAATTTAGCTTTCCCTAAGAAGGAAACTCCCTTTTAAAAGTCATTCAAGGCATATTCTCTCCTGCTGTCTCCACCTTCCCCTTTTTGTTGTAAGAGGGAAATTTCGTGCTGAGTTACAGTGGAAGGATTTAGTTGAAAACTTTGTTGACTAAATGCTTATCAATCCATTCTTAGCTCCTACTTAAGCATGTTTTCCTAAGTTCACAGCAGTAAAGTACTTTTTCCTTTAAATATCTGTTTTCTCACTCTAGTATTAATATTTTAAAAGAAATGTAATTAATGACATTTAATTTCATCGAAAGGATATTGACTTTTGTAGGTGTTACTATGACACTTCAACACAAATTCAGCCAAGATCACTCAGGATTTGTTAAAATCACAAATTAATAAACCATATGCATTTTTTTCTAGATCATTTCTTCTTTCTAATATCTAGCCACTGTCTCCCCAGATGTAAGCAATCTCAGAGCAGCAGTTTGCAGTTGTACAAAGTAATGAATGTCATTTGTTGTATGTATATTGAAAGGACTATAGGCTTCCATAGATACTAAGTGAGGCTTCAACAACGTAGATGCAAGTTTCTTAAAGACAGAGCTTCAGAACAGGACTGTGTATGTGACTTGCCAAATGCAGACCTTGACTGTCATGTTAAAAAGCTCCTTTCAAAAGGCTGATGCTCAGAGGTATATTCTTGGTCTCAGCAGTGCTCACTGACAACCTTTTCTTACTGTATTTCTTAGGGCCAGGATACTGTATGGGAATCGGTCCCCTCATTTCACATGGGAGATTTCTCTGGATGGGAGTAGGTAATGCCTGCAACTACTACAATAAGACATATGGAGAATTTGTGAGAGTTTGGATCAGCGGTGAAGAAACATTTATAATTAGCAAGTAAATCCTTATTTTCTATCCTTAATAATATCAAGAACTTTTTCATATTTTTACAACCTCTTTGCTACTTTTTTTCTAAAGTAGAACTGAAGTTATTCTTTACAAAAATTATCCTAACATAAACTTTTTACTTCCTGGTGTTCACAGACCTTTTTCTAATCTTTTGTTTCTTTAAAGACTCTGCTATTGAAGTCTATGTGAATACTCTCATTTTCTTCATGGAAATGAAGATTAAGCACTGTGGCTCAATCAAAAAAAATGTTTACTGTCTCTTTTACTATTCTATTTGAGATTAGGATTACATACTATACAGGAACCTAGACTAACTGCAATGCACAATTAAGCCAAATTTTAGATCCCCGTGTTCTTAAGTTTGTCCTTAAAACGGGAGTAATGCTTGAAGATTATGGCTCCAATTCAGCAAGTTAATTAAGCAAATGCAGCGTTATAGGATTATGAGTAATTCCACTCCATTTAGTAGGATTACTCATAGGCTTGGATTATACAGAGTATTATGCATAATGCTAAACCGCAGTCTATCATTTTATTAGCTCCAGTGAATGGCTGCTTTCTTCTTACATTGGGTCTCCTGGTTGCTTATGAGTTATGCCATGAAAAAAAAAAGTAGTAAAATGTTTACCATGTGCAATCGATAAAGAACCACAACCTTTTTATTAGCAATATCCATCAACCCACACTCAGCTTTCATTATGTAAAAGCTTTTGAAAGACAACATAGTATAGGGGACTGTCACAGGATTTGCCATGTAAAGCAAGTCAATTTCATCTCTGTCTGGTTTTACCTCTGTAAAAGGAGGTAATCATGACAGGAAAACTATTTACATTCCAATCCTGCATAGGTGTTGCAAATATCAACTAATGCACTGTAAGATTTTGATAATGTAAAATGCCCTGAACTCTCATTGTCTTCCACTTTCTGTACTACCAATTCATCAGAAACAAATCAGGAGTGCTGATAAACAATGCCACAGCTGCATCAGACTTGACAGTCTGACATCACTTTTCATCAGACATTTTTTGCTTAAAAGCATTGACTGTACATAGAGAACTAGTATTTAACTTTTTTTTAAACAATAATGTAGAATAAAGTTTTCAGTGGATCATAAATTCACAACAAAACTAAACATAACCTGAATTCTGCAAAAGTATACTATTTCCACCAATGTCATCTGAATTTTTGCCAGCAAATCTAATCATAGTGAGATGCCAGTGCTCAGACAGAACGACTTGCAGTCTTGGTTACAACAGACGTTGTCTTTTAGAGGACTTCATTAAATAGTTTCACAAGGAAAATCTGCTTATACAAGGTCATATGTCAAGTTCCTTAAAATATTATTATGTGTCGCCTGCGTAGATGCATGGAATGGAAGGAAGCAAAATGAGCCTCCTGCACCTTTCCACTCCTAGGGACAGCTGTCATAATTCAACACCATCTTTTCACATTCATGAAAATACTGGTGATGTTGTTCCTTGACATGCAAAAAACCTTTGAGGAAATTAGAAAAGAGAGCAGATGTGGCGAAGTGTAGGAAGAGAGAATATGCCAAGTTACTTGGAAGGTTGGACCTGAAGATACACTCCTCCCTGTTCTTACTTCAATCCTTAATCCATGTTTGCCTATTTGTACCATATAGCATCTCACTGCTAACGTTACTTCTGGTCATGCAAAACACAGTGAAAACCCAGCACTGCTGAAAGTCAATAGCAAAAGTCCCATTTACTTTGCCTGCCTGAAAAAAATAAACTAAACCCATGTATGAAGTCTGGGATTTGGTCCACAGAGTATGCTACATGGTAAAGAAAACAGCATATTGTTTCATTTCGATCTCTGTTCTGATTTTCTTTCTTTTTGTTGGATTTCATTTGATCAGGTTTTCATCACATCAACATTTCTAAAATGCTAGCTCCCTCTAAAGGAAATTATATCTTAAAGCAATAATGCTGGTCACAACCTGTTTGCCAGCATGCGTAAACAAACCTTGTCAACTGTAAAAAGAATTATACCTTATATTATATGTTATTAGGAAACCATGGATTTCCCTAACGTCTTTTTAGAAATATTTATCCCACACATATCATATTATGATGCTGCAGATCTAAATGATGCATGTATATTTATGCTTTCTGTATGTGTCTGGGAATGACCAAATAGCTACAAAAATATTGCTGTAATTTAATACACATCATGATGAAATTATCAACTGTCAAATATTTTATACCTCATCTTCTGAAACATCTGACATTGGTCATTGCCTGAGTGTATGTTATGCATCTACACATTTCCATGTATACACACTGTTCAGATTAAAATGGTTTGGTAACCATTTGCATAATAACTGGAAAATAGTTTTAAATATGAACAGAATACATTATTGCTTTAATATACATTCTGAAGGCATTTATCATCAAGATGTTTAATTATGTAAAAGGAACAACATTTAATGTCAAGCATTTTATTTCCTGCTAAATTGAGAATGCGAGTCAGCACTTCAGAGAAACTATAGAATGTCAGAATAAAAATTCTGTGTACAATCTATGAAACAGTATTTTTGTTTTGGGCTTTTTTCTCCCCATTTCTTTCCCAGATCCTCAAGTGTGTTCCACGTAATGAAACACTGGCATTACGTTTCTCGATTTGGGAGCAAGCTTGGATTACAGTGCATTGGCATGTATGAAAATGGGATCATATTTAATAACAACCCCGCGCACTGGAAAGAAATTCGACCCTTTTTCACCAAAGGTAAATCTGTGTGCATTAATACACTGCATCACTGTAGCACAGAGTCTATCTTTTCTGAAATGCTGTTTGTCCTCACCATACTTAAATTACAGAAATCAGTTTTCTTTATATATCCCATAGATGTATTTTATTGCACATGTTCTTTCATGCTTATCCTGCTTGGTATGCTATTTGAAATGGTCCTGAAATAGTTTTGCAGATTCTTAATCTCATCCAATTAAACCAAAATCAAATGATGCCCACATGCCATGTTTTTAAATGTTTTTACATTTCAAGTCCAGCATTTACGTTAGCTCAGCTGGCACTTCCATAAATGTAGCTGGCCGTTCCTATCTCAGTCTGCACTGAGTTCAAAGGCTTTTTTGTCTTGTTCTAATGGCGGGGGGGGGGGGGGGGGTGCTTTAGTTTCGGAATTAACTTATAAGACCTGAACAACAGAACTGTTTATTAATCCCTTTAATATACTAGGAATCAGTGTAGTAACAGAGAAAAAGATTGAAGTAATTAATATCGGTAGGTTGAAATCAAACAGGAAATTTACATAAACAAACTCCAGTGTTACTGGTTTAGGAGTCTACAATTTCTGGATTCACCTTCTTTCCACAAATTGAAAATTTTCAGTATTTGCATATCATTAGAATTCACTAATTCTAGTGATCCTACAGCCTTCCTAACAAAACTGCCACACTTGTTCTACAAGTTCAGAAAAGATTTTCACCAGCTGAGACTGCAGTAGTCTATGACAGAGATTCGAAAACCTGAAAATGAAAGTAAAGCAAAGTAAAACCTAAAAGAAATCAATTATCTGTTGGTTTAAGTTTTCTATGTTATTTTGTTGATATATCTGTGCTCCTATGACACTTGGCCTTCCCTACATGATTTTGCTATTGAAAAATATCAGCAACTTTGTACTGGTTGAAGATGGCAGGAAAAGAATATTTTTTTATTTTTCTACTTATTTCTAGAACTACCAGTTCTCTCTATTTACAAAACAGATCTCTTCTCAATTGCAAACATACAGTCCCTCTCAACATGTATTTGATAAAATAACGTCCTTGAGGCAGTTACAGCAATTCTTGTATGGAAAAGTAATTTAAATGGAGTACTTAGGGCAAGATTTCCAAAGTCATTCAAAAATTATTTGAATCCGTTCCAGCTGGAGCCTATCACAATCCCACTGAATTACATGGCAATGGAACTGGCCACTGCTTTTGGTTGCTTTTGAATTCTTAAAATGCAATAAATCCGTCATGACGCTATTTCCACAGTTCATGGGTGGACAGATGACTGCCAGGCTAGGCTTCACTATGTCCACAGCAACGTTACAGGTTGCCAGTAGCTCACTGCAAAGCTACCATGCTGTTTAAGAGCACCCAGGAGTTACGTTTTCAGAAATTCCCGTCATCCTCCCCGCAAATCCCTAAGCTATCTTCCCTGCTCAGTGTCATTGCGAGCAAACGAGACAGGACATCTGCAGTGCCTGTAATGCAGATGAGGATACGGATACCCTCCCTCGCAGAAAGGTAGCAGAAATGATGCTAAATATCTTTCCTTAACACAGTATGAACCTAGTAGAAAACGTGTGTCTGAGATACAAAGTGGCTGGATGCAAGGGACGTTTGGACTTTGAGTTCATTGCCATTTTAACTCAAAATGCTTCCATTTTTCTTTCAAAAGATGGTAAACCAGTAAGCTTCAGAACAGTTTTATACCAGTCGCTCACGTGATAATGTTTTACATTTGATTGACACCGTTATCACCAACTGATAAGTTATAATTAAGGTATGAAAGTTAACCAATCTTTTGGTCATTTTGCACATATATTTCAGCTCTATCCGGTCCTGGTCTTGTGCGTATGATAGCAATTTGTGTTGAATCAACAATTGCTCACCTGGACAAACTAGAGGAAGTAACCACTGAAGTAGGAAACATCAATGTGTTGAATCTTATGAGACGGATCATGCTTGACACATCTAACAAGCTTTTTCTCGGGATCCCTTTGGATGGTACTAGCAGCTTTATTTTTATACCTTGTGATGGATCTAAACTGAATGTCCAAGGAAAACTCATTGACATCACTCAGCAGTTTTCTTTCAGAAACAGAGCAAGAACAGACTCATATCACCATATAATTAATTGAAATTGATTTATGAGTGACTTTAGTTATAAAAGAGAATTTTATATGATTAAAAATATACATTAGCTTGTCACACTCACCTTAATAAAAGTAGCATTTAAAGAGATTTTTATGCACTGAGTTGGTATGATCCCAATATTATATGCATGTAAGAATCCGAAATCCTTCTACCAAACTAAATGATGGCCTTGAAAAGTTCACCTGACAATTTATGTCTTCTGTGATTTCTTCATCCTCAAAACCATATGACAGAAATAACATTATGGTGATGTCCAAATTATCCCATTTCAATATGCTGCAATAGTTTTGCTTCTGCTCTCCTGTGGGAGACTATTTGGCTCTGGTTGACACACCACTATCTCCTTTTAGCTAGCTACCAAGAGATTTTACAAAGATCTGTACGTTTTCTACAGTGGGCCACAAGTGTTTCCTAATGCTATCTTCCACCATTAAAACCAAATGTTTATCAAATTCCCGTGAACTTAGTCAGAGTAGGGAATGGGGCCTTATTATTAATTTTTCTGAAGCATTTCTGCTCTTTGGCTATTGAGGTTTGTACTTTATACTGCTTTTTGTTAACGTTTATTTTCAGAACATGCCATTGTACTTAAGATTCAAAACTACTTTGATGCTTGGCAAGCACTTCTATTAAAGCCTGACATCTTTTTTAAGATTTCTTGGCTGTGCAAGAAATACGAAGAGGCAGTGTAAGTATTAACAGTTTTACAGATCATTTGCCTAAGATCCTTTCTTTCTTACTATGAAGGAGATCTTCCCTGATGTTTTCCTCTACCTTTTAGAAAATAAATTGTGAAACATGCAAAGGTGGCTGGCTGAAGTCCTCCATCTGCTAAGATAGCAGCAGAACAAGGTTTGCCACTGATGCTACAAGTGGCTGATCTCAGGGGACGATTTAAAGCCCTTGTCTATTCAGTCCTAGATAACTCACCAAAATATTAGTTAATGCCAGCTCAAATGTGAAACTAAATTTAAATCACTGGTTCAGTTCAAACAGACATAAAAAAGCCATCATATGAGTTCAAGTTACATTTGCTCTCTAGTCAAGGACAGTCAAATAGTAGGCTACAGTTCATCAAAACAGGAAAACCCATCTACGTTTATGGTACTGTCTGAGTAGAGTTAACCCCTGAGCATAAATTTATTTATGGGTTCCTTCAATGTGCATTTTTGAGTTAACAAATCATTTTTGAGTTAAAACTTGGTGCTCAGCATGATAATCCTTTTCAAGGGGTTTTTTTTTCCTAAATAAGGAACAAATACATTTTGCCATCTTCCTCTTTGCAAAAATACAAAATGCCTCTTCTATTTTTATGATCTCATTTGCTGTCTTCTGCCAAAAGAGGACTGGTTATAAAAAGAACTGGCAATCAGTTTGTTCATTTTGGATTTGGATTCTAGCTAGTGAGAGAAACTACTGCTTATGAAGCATGTGTAATAAATTCTTTTGATGGTGCTATATAACATAAAGGTTTTAAGGGAAAGATAGAGGTTCCTCTGAAGTAGTTGGACAACTCTTATAAACTAGACACAAGATTTAACTTCTCTAACATATGCTTGCCAGTTTTATTATGGCACTGATTAATGCTTTATCCTGTGATTCTAATAACAGCTAACTGTGGTGGCCCAGTTATTACTAGAAAGCCCTTGCAGAGCCCTTGCAAATACTGATGTTTCAAAAGCAATTCCATTAAAATGGACTTATTCATAAATTTCTACTGCAAAAAAAACCCCAGTAAAGATTGCTGGACTTAAAGCAATGCAAAGAACAACCACAGGATATGATGACTTCTGATATTATTCTAATAAAGTTAGCAAAAAGGACTATTTGCTATTTCTAATACATAAAACATGTTATAAATAATGAGAATTTTACCAAGTTTTGAATTCATTTCCCCCTACAAAACTGGTCAAATTTTCTATCCCGACAATAGCAAACACAAATGGAAAGCCTGAGGATTTCATTCAAAAACTTTCCAAAGTACTTTTTAAAAAGAATTTCCTTCAAATCTATAGCTAACTGAAAATCCCAAATAAAATTATAAACTGTTGGACGTTGCTTTTTTCCACCACTGAAATACAAGCTGTTGACACAGTATTACTAAGTATTTAAATATGAAAAATTTATATCAACTCTACCTTCAAGACAGTATAATTTTTCTAACATTTATCTACATTTTTCTAACAATCATCCCTCATGTCCTCTAAGTTCATTTTACTCACTGATAAAATACAGTATAAAATGGAAGGAAATAAACAAATTCTTTGGAAATGTTAATAAGTCTCTTAAAACTCTATTCATTAATAGGATATACAGAGATATATTCATCCTTTTCAGTCTATCCTGTAAAGAGAGAGTAAGATTTCAGTCCAAACTAACAAGCAATTATTTAATAAAAAATAATAAGAAAATACACCTTCCCTTAGTATTACTGCTTTTGCAGAGAACCATAGAACCCCTCTTAGGAGTACTTAATTTCTGCCATTCTTAGATGGTTTTATTGGCATATTCTTTATGTTTCTAATCATATCCTAGTGTATACTAGAAGTCTGCAGATATTTATCAATACGTTGCATTTCATCTGTTTTCAGCAAGGATCTGAAAGGAGCAATGGAAATCTTAATAGAACAAAAACGACAAAAGCTTTCCACTGTTGAGAAGTTGGATGAACACATGGATTTTGCATCCCAGTTGATTTTTGCACAGGTATTGGCAATGTACTCAAAATATGACTAACTTTGATTTTTCTGACATTTTCCCATCATTAACAACACAGGCTTTGCAACTTAAACTTCATGTATCTATCTGAAGGTCATGTCATCATAAAGGGATACAAATTAGTGGGTTCTGTGGAGTCCCTAACAGTGATTCAAACATTGAACAGTTGCATTTTTGGGAACAGGTGCTTGTCTGATTTTTTTCATGGCTTAAACAACATCCTTAAAACTCTTGCATCTATCCCTGAACGTCCTCTGGTCTTTCCCTAACCTCTGTATTTTATCTTGATGTATTGCCTTTTGTTTGCAAAGGCTTCAAAGGCTGCATAAATCCTACCTTGTATAATCTCTGACAGCTCCCAAACTCTGTGAGAAAAGGCAATGAATCAATAAGATCCGAGCTAAGAACAAACTTGCTTTTCGGTAAGATAATACACACCCATCAAAATATGAGTTTTCTATTTTTCTCTGAAAGACAAAAAATAAATGTTATTTAGCATATGAGATAGAAAGACTGCCAAGATTTTGGCTTTTGCTTAAAGCAGATATTCTAGGTCCTTCCCATTCTACTGCTATAGGATCTTTGTTGGCATCAGAGGTGAGCAATCAACAATTTCCCCCCCAAATTTCCAATTTATTTTCAGAACAGAGGGGACCTGACTGCTGAGAATGTGAACCAGTGTGTGCTGGAGATGATGATTGCTGCTCCTGATACTCTGTCTGTGACTCTCTTCTTTATGCTAATACTGATTGCGGAGCACCCCACAGTGGAAGAGGAAATGATGAGAGAAATTGAAACTGTTATGGGTAAGCAGGAGCTGCAAAGTCAGTGATGTGGGAATATAATTTTGCTTCAGCAGTGATCTAATTTTGATTATTCGAAGGCTGAAAAATCTAAGTGTTTTCTTCTTGCAGAAGCATTTGCTGTAAAATTTATGAACTACCATTCCGTGTAAAAGATTTTACTCAAGATCAAATGAAAGAAGAGGAGTAGTTTGTATGATAAATTCAAATAGGAGTCATCAGAACTGATAATCTATTAGAAAGAATGTGTTACATTCCCTCCTCAGCAACAGCAGTGCAAATTAGCACTCACCTCATAAGTTCCACTGAAATTATTTTCCATTTACCTTGAAACAGCAAAAGGGGACACTCATTTAAAATACTTCTAATCACCAATATTACTCTCCGTATACATAAAACCCAAGTTTCACTATGACTGCAGAAGGGAAAGATTAGAGAAAATGAAAATTGTATTCTGCCATCATCCATTTTAATATCAAACTGGTCTCCTCTTTAAGTACTAATTACTAACTATTCAAAACACAATCAAGATATTCCAAATTTGTATTCTGCCCCTTCTCTAGACTTCATTCAAAGCCTGACACTGAATAATATAGAAACTAATTTCATCCACTCTTATTCAAGATTTACTTCTGGTCCATTAAACACTAGAAAGTGTATAACAAGTCCTTTAGTCTTTTTCTAAGGTACTGTTAATAAACTTTATTTTATTGACCTCATGAGAGTCGAGTACTCACTTATTCGTCTTTCCTATTTCTTTTTGATAGCCTTGATTTCTAAGGCAGTAGGACGTTGTTGCCTTCAGCAAATGACCAACTGGGGTAGCAAAGCTGACTTTCGTCTCGAAAACCTACCCCCGTAGTGGTCAGCCTGTAGTTCTTGAACTGCTTGTTGCATGCAAGTTAAAGTAAGGCTCCCACCGGCAGCACGTCATGGCTCTGATACTGCTGCTGATGGAGTCAAGCCGGGAGGAAGTTACGGTAACTGAAATAGGCCACAGTAGGACCTAGCTGTACATCCAGCCAAACCCAATTGCATGGTGAAAACTCAAGGTCTCTACAAAGTTTGCAGACTATTGCCAGATTCCGCTTGCTGTCAGCTCTCAAAAGATTTCTTTGTTGAGTCTTGTTGCTCTCAGTCATGCAAAAGTCAGGGAAGGACTTTCAGAGTTTTGCCACTGACAAGAAAGCAGAACAAAGACTCATAATGTATTAAGAAGAAGGTGAGAAGATGATAAATTAATAAACTAGGGTTTATGCTGGTGAACAATATACCAGATTTCCTGAATATGTAAGGCTACATAAAGCTCCTCAGAAGCTGTTGGATCCATCCTACCATTTTAGCAACTGAGAATCTTCCAAAAATGTTTTGGTATTTGTACAATGAAGCTATTAAATTCATAACCAACTTCTTCACCATCTGTTTTATTCCACAAGGTGACAGAGACATACAGAGTGATGACATGCCAAACTTAAAAATCGTGGAGAATTTTATTTATGAGAGTATGAGATACCAGCCAGTTGTGGACTTGATCATGCGAAAAGCTTTACAAGATGATGTAATTGATGGCTATCCTGTGAAAAAGGGGACAAACATTATTCTCAATATCGGACGTATGCATAAGCTTGAATTCTTCCCAAAGCCGAATGAGTTTTCTCTCGAAAATTTTGAGAAAACCGTAAGTTTTCTATCTTATTTCTTACAGGAAATTGAGTATTATTTTTTGACAATGTCTCTTCCTCTTATTTTGATCAAGAGCTTTGTGACCACAAGACTGTTTTCCATTTAAGTGCCTAGTTAGCTATACATCCTGCTTATTACTATTATTATTATTAAAACTGGGCAGATATTTTCCTATCAAATTGCCTTTTAATTAAAAAATAATTATGATATCGAAAACAAAGTTTTTCCAGGGATCTTAATTTTGATTTAAAATTTCTGCTTGGATTTGTCCACATAAACATAGTTTACATTATATCCCCTGACAGTGGACAAAATAAAGAGGCTTTAGGGAGCTAGAGCCATGCAAGCCATACAACACAGAGCTGAAGCTGCGTAAGGATTCTCTGGAGAGGTGAAGAAGTATAGTAACTCCTGAGAGACTGAGAATCTAGCATCCATCTCATTCTCTCTCCTTTTTTTTTTTTAATTCCTAAATAAAAATAAACACATTTTATAGACCAAAATGGAAGTCCTAAGTTTTAACCAACTCAGTATTGCAGATGTTGCGTAATTCAGTCCCAGTTCAGCACAGCATTTCAATTTAAGTGATATTCTAACTCCCAAAAGAACTAGGATTTTTTTTAGTCTACATTACTGAGTCCTGTATCAAAAGCAATATGTGAACTTTTTTCCTGCTTGTAATCTCCTACTATCATAAATCATCCTTCAGATTATTTAATTTCATTTAGACCTCTGCTCTTCTGATTATTTGTTAAACAAATTGTTTTGCAAAACTGTATTTGTTCAGCAATAACCATCTGGAGAGATTAAAACTGTACTGAAAGAAAATAGACTGATTCTATGGCATGTTTGACTCCTGGTTTTTGACTGTTAACCAGTGCAGATGGAAGTGGAAGACAATGCTACCCATGTGACAGAGAGCACAAAAATATGAAATACTAAGGTTTGGTTAGCACTCTTGTGAGAGAATTAGAAAGATCTCTGGAATAAGTAGCCCTGCGAGAGTGGAGGGCATAATCAACTTAGTCCTATGAAGGGAATCTCAACTGCAGAACCTTAGCATTACTATCATAGATGCATACATTTGCCTGGTATGCAAGCTTTCTCTTACATTTTCTTGTAGCTTGTCAAATATTAAGGTTGAATGGGGTTGAAGCTAAAGGGTTAATGTTTTCTACAGCTGTCGTAGTTCTCATTTTGTCTAACTAAAAAAGTTAGGAAGTAATTCCGTTACCTGGCAAAATTTTTTTCTTTGGAGATGTCAGCAGATGCACATATAAGCGTCCACAGACAGTAATTTCAGTTTTAAAGAAATAAATAGATGACACACTTTGATACACCAAAAATGGGCTTACTAGTAAAAACACCTGAAGAAATAATTAAGAAAATAAAGAAATAAAAGATTTGAATGTTCAAGCCAGAAACCCGCCCAGTTTTACATTTTTCCTATCAGAAATCTAGCAGTACCATGTATGCCACACACACAAAAATGAGCACCAAATCACCTGGTTAACGTTTCTAAACTGCTGTTTGACTACCCATAGCAAATTCTGTCCACAGTATTAAAAACAACAGATCAAGGGAAAAGTCACTGTAGAAAATTCAAGAAGAGAGTGACTAAGTTTATTGAAATAACTGTTCATTATGAATAGTTTCCATTTTTCCACCCGTTATTTTCATTCTAAGTATTTCTGTCAAAACGGATTTCTTGCTTATTTTATAAGTACCCTTTACTACTAAAAATATTTCCCCTTGACCAAATATTTAACCACACATTTTCTATCTGACTTGCTACATTCTGTTTGCCACATAATTATTCTAGCAGGCACAATTTTCACACAGTTCTCTAAGTGAATAGCAATCCACACCATTATTTATGATAAGATGGCACTGTTAGAATCTAAACATATTTCCATTTTCCCAGGCTGTGCATTTGCCATTGTGCTGTACTGCCAGCTGCTGTACTTGCTCTGTATTATAGACACTTGTACTTACCTATCATTTTTCAAAAAGTACAGCTCAGTTTATTTGAAAAAATTTAAACAGAAAACATTTTTCTCAGTCTGAAAATGAGGGAAAAATGACACTTTTTTCTAGATAATTTAAAATAAAGCAACCTTTTCTACCATATTCCTTCGTTAAATAGGAAGTCAGAACACAGCTAATATCTTAATTTTTTTAAAAAGAAAGTTACACAGATGAAGAAAAAGAATGTATTTTTTTATAGACAGACCTGCTTTTTCTTACTCATAACAAGTACCTTTGTACCTCATTAGCAGTACTATTCATGCTGTTGGGACTGTTTTGGATAACTGATCTATACAATGTCAATAAAAGTAGCAGAAACTGGCTGTGCATTCTTCAACAGCTCTGGGAATGCTGCATTTCACATTTTAGTTGGTAGGACAGGAGACAATCATTTTATAAATGTTATCTCCCTATTAGATACGAAATTAAATTTTCAACGTTGCATCTTATGACAAATTAATTCTCAGGAACACTAGCTTTTTAAGGACAATTGTAGTAGGTGTATGGCTTTAAGATTATCTTTAGACAAGGCATCAGCCTGTATCTCAGGCGTTTATGAGCTTTGTAATGAACATTTTCTGGAAAAATTTTTAATGAACTTTAATGCATATTGAAGAGCAAAAGCTTCCCTCCTTTTCACAGCTTGTGGTACAATGCCTGTAGTTCACAGGATGAACAGACTGAAATGCACAGACAAAATTCAACCGCTTAACTTCACATTCCCTGCCACCTTAGCATTTAAAGAGGCATACCTTCCGTAGGTGCCTCTGTATTTTGGCCTGGCTTGGGTGGGAGGGCTGCTCAGTGTAAAGGAAAGAAGTAACTGCTCCTAAGAGATTCTTTCCACAAGTTTTTCGGAATATATTCACTCCCAATTTCCATCATAATTTTGGCTACTTTGAGGATGAAAAATTTGTCTTAAAGCTTATTCCTCGTGTTCTTCTGTGCAGGTTCCTTCACGCTATTTCCAACCATTTGGATTCGGCCCTCGGGGCTGCGTAGGAAAGTTTATTGCCATGGTAATGATGAAAGCAATTCTGGTGACTCTTCTGAGACGGTGCAGAGTACAGACAATGAAAGGAAGAGGCCTTAACAACATCCAGAAAAACAATGACTTATCCATGCACCCAATAGAAAGGCAGCCTCTGCTGGAGATGGTTTTCACACCGAGAAGAAACACAAACAAGAATCAGGGTGACTAAAATGAATTGGCATCAGCATTAAAGTTACAGGGCTTTCTCAGCCACAGCCACTAAGAAATCCCCATCGTTCCTAGGTAAAGATACAGAGTAAGGCGTTTTGTTGCCCCTAAACAACTACAGTTTCAGATGACAACTTGTTCTGCCTGCACAGCAGAACCGCGTTCTGGCCACAGCTTCAATGTAATAAAGAAAGACTAAAATTACAAAACAGTCCTGTTGCTAGGTGATGCCACACTATTGCAGGATTCCTAGCTACTTTTTAAAATCATCAAGTCCAGACGAAGCTATGCCTTGCTTTTCAAACAGTGCAAGTTCAGAGGTTTGGGGATCAACAAAAGAACATGCCCAACGTCTGTTTAATTCCAGGACTACGCGTGTCCCCCTTCCCCGAACCGCCCCAAAGTTGCACCCAGCAGTATTTAAGTACTGCAAAAGCTCTAATTATCTGGTTTTGAAAACATCTGAATGAATAATGTTAAAGTTGATTTTAAGACTATGAAACAATTTAAAATATTTAGGACATATATAAGCTACAAAAAATGTTTGTACAGGGAGTCACTCAAACATTTTTCTTTGCCATGTTTTGCTGTCCCATTAAACAGATACCAAACACAGTGTCAGATAAATTTTGCTGATGGTAGTAATTTCCAGAGTACTAGGTAATACGACAGTTGAGATAACTGTTCTGTTTTTAAAACCCAGAGTCCTGCTACAGAGTATGCCACAGAGGATCTGTAAACATCTTACTAAAGACCAGCTGAGAATAAGGTAACGATACGAAACATTACCACCAGTAGGACACGGAGGGGTGGAGCAACACTCAGTTCCACCTCACTTGGTTAACTGTAGAAGTTTCCCACCTCGCCTCAGTTTGGTGAAGAAGTTCAAATTCTCTCTAAGCTGCATAAGCAGTACCAAATCCTGTTTCAATCTGGTTTTAATTGCTCAATTCTACTTCAGAGAATAAGACTTGGAGTTGTTGCCCATGTTCCCACACCACAGCAGGGGAGAAAGTCCCTCCCTAATTATCCACATAGCTCTTATTGCTTCTCCTGAAAGAGCACTGGGCTGTATCCTGCTCTCGAGCATCTTGCCTCACGCCCACTGATTTAAAGACAGTCAGTAGCAAAAGAAGAGAAACACTAGCTCAAGACCCAGACTTTTTTTTTTTTTTAGGTAAAATAGGCTTCAGTCATCTGCTCAAGGTAAGGTGCAAGCTTCATTGGGTAAATGATCAGAGTTTTGTAGTGGCAAAGGAGAAAAGTTCTGAAGTAACAAGTAGATTTCTAGAAAACATTTTTAAGGGGGTTTTGCACACAGATTTTTATTTTTATTATAAATGAGGCTTAGCTTTATACTTAGTCCTTGACAGGGTAGCTACATAACTACCCAACATTTCCTGTTGAAAATGGACCTATCTTGAAATCTGTAGAATTTTGACATTCATTGATATCTCTACTAGCCTAATGATGAGTTGTTAATTTGGTCAAGAATAAAAGATCTTCCTGGCTTAATAACAACATTCCTTGACAGACACTTTCCATTTTCAGCAAGCTTGAGTTTTCATACTGTGTAGCCCAAAGAAAAGTGTTTTCCAGATAAAACGCCTTGAAAAAGCCAAACAACCAATGTACAATAGGCTTCTTATTAACCTTTTCCTTCCAAGTCACTTAAAAGGAAAAAGGAAAAAGGTTGCTTATGTCCTTACTTAGAAAATCTAATTAAAATTAATTAGATAAATTAATCTGTTCCCTTGGACCACTGCTCTTAGGTGCAGGTCCAGCAGAGGAAGATCGATACAGTAGCATATAAAAACTGCATTAACCCAACAAATAAATATGTGTTCCAGCCAAAGGTAATGAATTAGGTGAGGCTGGGACTGGTAACAAAGAAGAGGAGCTGCACATTTAGGTCATTTCTCAAAACAGCATGCAAATTTGCTAGAGTAATTTTAAAAAAAAATCAAAACTTGAAAGCAGAATAATTTATTGTAGCTAGATTACTTTTAAAGCTTTCTCCGTAGCATTTGCATGGTACCGAAAAATTACAAGAGTGAAGTGCAATCCCATACCACCTGTAAATACAAAACTGGGCATTTGAAGACATACAGAAATAGGATTTAATGGTTAGACTTGATGATCTTAAAGGTCTTTTCCAACCTAAGTGATTCTATGATTCTCTGGTTTTTAAGTCATGAAGTGACATAGTGGTATGAACCTTTGGAATATCTAATGTAACCTCTATTTCTACATTCTCTGTAGCCTTTAAACTAGGAATTTGTTAGAGCTGTTGGGAGAAGGAAAAAAATAAAAAAACAAACCCCCAAAAAACACACCAAACAAAAAAACCCAAACAAAACACTGATTAAATCCTATTCTTATTCATTCTCTATTGTAAAACACTGAAAAGGGTGCATCAGTGGACACACATTTCTCATCTGTGTGAAAACTTTAAAAAGAAATCCACTGAAGGGTCCTTTTTCTTGGGAATAAACTACTATTTTATACACAGTATGTATCTTCACTTATTTCACACATTAAAACATTTTTATAGTGATAATTTACTCTCTGATTTTCCACCTCATAATTATAGTTCGCTCCCAAGTAAAATTTTTCACAAGGTTGGAATTAATATATTAGTTTTAGCATTCAAATTTTGAAATAATTATATGAAATCATGTAGATATATGGAAAATGCATGCTGCTCTGATTTCTTTAATGTATTATATATTGTTGAATTTGTAGACTGGAATTTCAGAAACATGATTACCATCATTATTCTATGGAAGAAATAAAGCAGTTTAATTTTTTACTTTCTTAAGCAAGCCTGCAGAATTATTTCCCATTGTATTTAAGTATATTCCTTCTTATATGCTTTGCACATAGTGTTTCTGGTCCTCAAATCTCTACACTACGTAGTTTTGCCCACATTTGGACAATAGGCCTGTTAATCTGAGCTGTTAGCTAATCTAAGCCCTGTTTCTCCACATCTTTATTATGGGTGTTATGCAGTGGTCCATTTGCATGAATATTTGCACGATAAGGTCCATTTCCCCTCTTCATGTACTTACATATGTTTGAGAACTGTGGTTGGGCGAAATAGTGTTTCAAAACGTGCCATGTGGATATAAAGAGTTTAAATCTTTTCAATGTATATATGCCATTGTACAAAACAGAGCTCTGATTTTAAATGGTGTTTTATTATCAGGCACTGTAAAAATTTAAGTGACTTTTAAAATGACATCACATCTACTGTCATCAAGTGACTGTTCCATTAATGTTCAATACGTCAGCATAGACCAAACTTGAAGACTATGTTTTATACATCACTGTGATTATGGGCTGCTCACAGCACGTAAACGTGGATGTTGTTAGAAAAATAAGATGATCATCAAATAAAAGTTGTATGCACAAAAACAAGTTTTAAATCATGTTTCATAGTGTTTTCACAATCTAAGAATCACAAAATATATTTAAATGCATGAGTGTGTATGCATGCATGAACTGATTATTAAATTATTCGATACAAGGATGAAATCCGGGATGTTCTAAACTCAAATTTCCCACTGATTTCAGACAATATAGTATTGCAAAGATATTTTTAAGACTAGTAAGAAAGTGGAAATGGATTAAGTAATTTCAGTTCATACAAGACTGCTTGCCTCGGAATGCACTTTATCGCAGCGTTAAAAGAAGGGAGAAGAGGTAGATTTTGCTGATTCTGAAGATAATAGGGATTTGTGGATGTAACAAAAAAGCATGGTTTGATGATACAAAGGGCTCAGCTATCTGTGAGAGGAGTAACCAAAGTAATAAAAAAAAAAAAAAAAGAAACAAAGCAAAGAAGTAAACTAACTGCATAGTTCAAAGTAATTTTCATCTCTTCTTCTTTTCATATCATGATGGCATGACAAATTCAGTTTGTATCTGTATAATTTATTTCACTTTCAAATGAAAGCTTTCAGAGAGATAATTCTTGTATTTGGCTAAAGTGACAGGAAACTGGAAGGTAGCAAATGGCACAGTAAAAAAAAAATTCACAAGAACTTTAACATAGCTGAAAATAGATAGATTTTTCAAACAGTGTCCTGATCATGAGACACTCCCAGTGAAAACATTTATCCTAGAATTTTACAAGCTCTATTAGTAATTTTAAAACATTAATAAACAATTGTCATTTTATTAGATTGTTCACTTTCTGCTTTCTCCAATACAATCCAGTGTTATATCCTCAGTTAATACCCCATTAAATGAAGTTCCTAACTTTAAAAGAAAATCCCAATTGAAAGTTTACAGCAGAAAGGAATGTATTTGTGTTGGTTAGAGGAAAACGGTTAATATGTTGGGCCAAATCTGCTCTGATCTATGGTGAAATAAATCCTTCTCTAATCTAAGATTGGAATTTGCTGCCAACATACTCATTTTAAAGTGGCAGATACCCAGGACTTGAGATGTTACAACTGTTAGGGCTCAAAACAACATTACCTATCTACTATTATTGTAAGCCTTAAACTTTGTGATATCTATTATAAAAGTGCTGGGTTTGCATACTGTTGTAAGTCCAATGTTTTCAAACACAGACCTTTAATTTTACAATATAGACAAGTACTCGATTCCACAGATCTACACTACTGTAGCAATAATTCCATTCAAATGCATTAATGCATAAAAAAAATATCCAGAATTGTCATTTTTAGAATTACATATTTTGAACTCCAGTCACTAAAAAAACCCTACTGCTTTCATAAAGTGAGATGATTTTATGCTGTTCATATTTTTGCTATAATCTCTTTAGTTGCAGATAACTTTATTGAGGTACAAATATAATTGAAAAGACCTGTGAATTAACACTGCACTCTGAGCAGGGTCCAGCAGGTGGCACACACAGAAAATTTATTCATGCAACAACAGCAGTTCATGTATTATCGAAGTCCCTGTTGATATACAAAAGCCACTAGACTCCTATGGTCTTTACTCAGTTATTAAAACTGCTTTAGGAAGATGCGGAGTCATTCCAGAGTCACTCAAAGTATAGAGGTGGAGAGAAAAGGAACCACTAATAGTGTGGACAG